TTTTAATTGTTGGGCCATACTCAGCTACTGTCTGAAGATAGACGCTGAAAAGGTATTTGTTAGGTGAACAGGATTTTGTCTACTTTATGTATTCAAATGATTTTCACTTAAAACAGTGACTTTATGATAAATTTTAGTGAAAATATTTTAATAACTTGTCAGTTGTTCAATAATAAGAGAGCTACTTTTTACTGCCTGGATTAAATCTTCTAAGATCTTATATTTTTGGCTGCTTCCCAAACTACTTCCTTTGTATATCTCCACTGGAGTTACAGAATAAAATGTCACAGATACCTCCCTAGTTCTTCCTTTAATTTCTGCCTTGCCAGGGCTGTGGCTCAGTGGCAAAGAGGATACCTTGCATGCATGAGACCTGGCAACACACACACACACACGCACACACGCACACACACACACACACGCACACACACACACTCACACACACACACAGAGTTCCTTGTTTTACCATATAGCTATTTTCTGAAGATAAATGTGTGCCTGCCAATGGCAGAGGCATATCCCTGAAGAGACAAACTATTTCCCTGGATGAACTGTCCTCAGACAAAATCAACTCTTCTACTTTATCCAGTCTTGTTAAGTCCATTCTAAAACTCAATGTGATTTCATATAAATTAATGAAAAATGAAATGTTTGAACAGGAGGTTAATTACTAGCTACAATGAACAAATGTAATACAATAACTGCTTCTGAAATGACAGCTGATTACTAGCAAACAGAAAAGATTGTCTTTGAATTATAATTTGTAGTGGGGAGGGGTCTATTTAATTGGACTGTGTGGTTAAGAAATCCCTAGTAAAGAATTCAGCTGTCCTCATTATATGGAAATTAATCCTACTGTCATAAGTAGCTGAGCATTGATATCAGGTAGGGAGTGCTGATCAAATACGTTTTTAAATTGAGAAGTTATATTAATACCTGCTGTAACAATTATTTTAGATATTAGACATATTTATAATGAAATATATGGTTCACTCAGCAATATAATTATCAAATACATAATTTCTATAAAACATGAATTTAAAATAAAATTTAAGTTCTAGTCTGATTTTATATTAAATTTAATAATACATTTTTCTAGAGTTGTTTGATTTGAAAGTTCTTACTATTCTTTGTTCTGAATTTTAAAATCAAATTTTTATTTAAATTATAGAGCACCTATTTATCAGTTGATTTTGTTTTATGCCATGTACATTTTCATTCAAATATTTAGTGAAGTTTAAAAACAAGCCATAAGTACTTTACACATTATACAATTGTCTGAATGTGTATACACACACACACATAAGACATATTAATTGGAGTTGCTCTTTAAGATCTGACCACAGGATTACAATGATTTTATATTGAACTGATGCAGCACAGTAATTTCACAACCCATGTATAATTTTCTTTTTTAAGTTTGTCAAACTGAGCAAATAGAGAAAAGATGGTAAGTGGTAATATTTCTCATGCATTAAGGTCTGGTTAGGCTCCTTGCACATGAAAGGAAGCAGGGAGAGCAGGGTATGAAATAACTCCAAGGTCCCCACTCATTAGAAACTTTCTCCTATGCCTTTCCTTTTTCTTTTCTCTATCTTTGTATTGTTGTTATTGTTGTTGGTAACAGGAGTTGGGGAAAGAGGAATTAGGAATTAGCGTTTGTTCAGTTTTTATTCACTTTGCTCTGTTGGTACCAAAGGTGTAGCCAGGGCCTCACACATGGGTAGCCTCGTGCTTCTCTATCCCTGAGCTGCATACAGCTCTCATCCAAGGTTTTTTTTCTAAAGGCATTTTTCAGTTGAAAGGTCTCTAAGACACTAGATGCCTTAGTATAAGGTTTCTTAGACTTTTTCCTTTGTGACCCAAGAAATGCAGCACCAGTGAGTGTTACCAGAAACAACTTCGATTCATGATGTACGTGGTATTGAATTAATGGTTGGTCATTGTGCATTCAAAAACCCTTTACTGTTGCCAGATTTTTCACATCACCTGCCAAATTTCATTACTTGACATCAGATGAGGTCTTAGAACTGGTCTTGGAAGACACCCTTTGGTCCTGACTCCATTCACATCAGTAAAAACTTAACTTCAAAAACCTTGATTCTGTAGGACCATGAAAAAACTTCAATGGCTCCATACTGCCTTTTCCCGACAGAGCTCTGGTACCAGAAAAGTGGATCCAAAGGGCTGGCTCCAGGACCAAATGGTTCACTGGTTCCATTGTTTTGGATAAAAAGCAAAGAGATTTTGAGTCATTTTTGTCCGTGGAAACCAGATCAAAAGGGACATACAGAGCCAAGCCCTGTCCAGGATGTGGCAAAATCCTGCAACTGCCAAAGCAGCTGAGCTCTTGGCAAGAAGTGATGGGGTTCACGCTCAGCCCTTCATCAAACTCATTACTCACAAGTGTTGCCAAGTTGGGCAGCACTCTGGGGAAGACTGACAAAATCAGCTGGAAGCAAGAGGTCAGACATATTCCTTTCCTCCACCAGATAGTGTCACCCTGCAGAGTAGAACAATTGGTCCTGGGTTGCATCTGTCTCCTCTGTTGCCAAATCAAGATGATGTTATCATAGTGTTACACTCATAGTCCCCAAAACCCTAAGGATCCATGGTGTATGGAGATGACTGCTTCCCTAAGCAAGTAGAAGTCCACGATAAATGCACAGACATCAGTGCCACATCCAACAGGACCAGTTTCTGCGCTTTTGTGGCCAGCACTGATTGTCACGCTGTTTTCTCCCATCATCTGAAAGTTTACCAGTTAAACAACAGATAAAAAGCTTTCTGGATGAGAAATTGAAAAACACTTAGGAATTGGGCGGGGGGTTGGGGGGGGAGTCTAGATTCGGGAACACAAGAAACTAGGTAAGGGTGACACAGGATTAGCGATTCCATTTGTTGCTGAAAGTAGCCATTTTATTATCCATTGGGTCAGCTTTAGATTTGAGGATGTGTGTGTAGAAGCATTTACAGACAATGTGCGTGTGTGCATGTGTGTGTGTGTTTGCACATTTAAAAAATAATACAGGGCCTGGAGAGATAGTACAGCGGGCAGGGAGGGCACTTGCCTTCCATGTAGCTGACCCAGTTCGATCCTCGGCATCCCATATGGTTCCATGCCCCCAAGCACCGGAGAAGTGATTCCTGAGTGCTGACCCAGGAGTAACTCAGCATTTCCAGAAACAAAAAAGAACAAAAAAGAATAGAAACAATAGAGCCAAGGACTCTTTCACCTAGCTTGCCTACTTTCACCTAGCTTGCCCTGTCAACTGTGCAGGTACCCAGGCTCCTGGCACTCAAACATCCAGGGCCTCCGCCCCATCTTCGACCCGCGATGCTCCTTTAAGCCCCCCACCCCCACCCCCTCACAGACCAGAAACCCGTACACCTGGGCACTTTTCGTCTGCCCTGCCGCCTGTTCTAAGCCTCACCACTGTCCTCTCTCAGATGTCCCATCGCCGCCACCTACGTTCTATCCTCTTCCTGGGCCACTATCTCGGGCGTTCCCGGCCCCCCTGCAAGCTGCGGTGACCGGATCTCGTCGAGGGGTGCTCTCGTGGTGGGTGGGGGGGCGGTGCCAGCACCACCCGCTAAGCCCCAAATCTCCGCTCCCCGTCCTGCGGGGCCACATGCACCGAAGCCGGACCCCGAGCCCCGCCGCTACCCTGGAACGGGAGGCGCCGGCCCCCGCGCGGGGCCAGCCCGCGGGCCGCGGCTTCGCCCTGGGAGAGGCGTAGGGTGCGTGCGGCGGGGACCCGGAGCGAGCCGCGCCCTCGGGCCGGCGCGGCCCGGACTCTGCAGCCCCCGCAGCCCCGAGGGCCCCGCGTCGCTCTCCCGAGCCAAGGTTCTCAGGAGCGGGCCGCGAAAAGTCGTTAGCGGGAGGAGTTAGCGGCTGTTGGGAGCACGGGTTCACGGGAACTGCCCCTTTTCGAGCCCGGCCTCGGCGGGCCGGGCCGCCTCCGCCCTCGCGGGACGCAGGACGCGGGACGCGGACGCGGGCCGGCCGGCCCGGGCGCGACTGCCCACGACCACCGCCCACCCCGGCTCTCCCGCCAGGGCCGAGCCGGCGCCCCGTTTCGCCGCCTGTTGGCCGCGCCGAGCCCTGAACGCCCGGGGGTCGTGGCGCCGCGGCCCGGCGACGTCCGGTGAGGGGTCGCCATGGCGACGCGGTCCCGGACCACGCCCGCCCGCGGCGGTTGGCATGGAGACGGTCCCCGCGCCGCCCGGGCGCGCAGCTGATTGGTCGATTCAACAGACGCGGGGAGGGGGCGGGGTTTGAAACTCACAGGGCTGAGCGCCCCGGCGGCCGCCGCAGCAGCCGGGCTGGAACCTATTAGCACCTCGGTCCCTCCCGCCCCGCCCCCGCCCCGCCCCCTCCCGACGCCCCGGAGTCCCAATCCTCGAGTGCACTTGCTTGTTGCGGGACACACACGCACACACACGCACATAAGGCTGGCAGGAGCGACGCCCGCGGTGGGCGCCAAGCAGGTTTGGGGCGTTTCTGTCTGGGCGGGAAGAGAGTCGCAGAGTAGCAACGCTGCTCGACTCTAGAAATAAGGACTTTCCCAGGAACTTCTCCCGGGGTCTAGTTTGCAGGCGGGGAGGACCTGAGCATTTCTGCTCTTGAGAGTTGAGCCTGTAGATTTAGGCCCTCCACGAACGTGTAGTACCCCGGTTGGGTTCTGAGGTTTATCAAGGTCTCGCCCTCCTTCCAGCTCCCAGACCTTAGGCAGGTCTTGGAAGAAGGCTTCAAGAGATTCTAGTCACGGTTGCGGGCCCTCAAAACTGCTGTGGCAGCTTGGGGTCCTGTTCCAGATCATGCCTGATTGCTGAGTCCTAATTGCCCAGTCCTAATTGCTGAGATGATTGTGGTTTAATGCGCTCCGGACTAGGAAGAAGAATTACTACATCCCTGGAGTAGCTGGTTGGAGTTAGGGAACTAACCGATTTGGATTTGTCCGTTTTTTCTTCCTTGGTAGCTGCAGCTTGCGGAGACGGAGGCTATGCATCATAGCAACTCCAAGAGTGGAGTCGTCCTGGCTCCCGTGTCAAGAGGTCCCGATGCTGTTCAGATGCTAACTAGAGCTCAGCTCGGCCAAGATCCACCGCAAAGAACAGTGCTAGGGGTGCTAACTGAGAATGGGCAGCAGTACAGGAAGACCTTTGGCCAGGTAAAGGCAGAGAAGCTGAGGAGGGCTGCTTATGAAGGGCTCTCCAGCTGGGGCTGAAGAGTGGGCCAGGATGCTTGCCGTGCACACAGCCTACCGGGACTCGATCCTCGGTATCCGGGTGGTCCCCTGAAGTGATCCCTGAGGGCAGAGGCAGGAGTCTGCCCTAAACACTGTTGGGTGTGGCCCATAAACAAACAATGATAAAAGAACAACAACAACAAAAGGGCTCTCTCATCCTGATCCGAGGTGTTCCTCTTACTGCTTTGCTTACCATCTCCCTTGAGTATTCCAGCCCTGGAATCTGGACTCTAGAGACATTTCAATCTCTATAGCTCTCTTGGTTGGGTCCTCTTTCTGCTGGAAATGATGAATAATTTTTCTTTTGCTCCTTTCCCAGTCTCACAGATAGTTATCTAGGAACTGTTGGATTAAGCATGTCAAGTCATGTACAGGAGTAAAAGAAAACACAATGCCTCCAAATTAACAAGGGAACTGGGATTCTGCCAGCTTCATACTGCTCTAGGCTGTGTTGCAAGAGATATTGGAGATAAGGATGGGCTCTCCATGGGATCCTCCTAGATTTACTTCAAAAAAGTGTGCTCAGATAAACTGAAGGCTTAAAAAAAAAAGGTGTTTTGATAGCCCCCATCTTCCCAGTCCTGAAAAAGAGCTATTGGATAAATATATACTTGCCATCAGTAGTCAAAATTGACTGTGGGTACCTCCTTTAACAGACTGAAAACAAACTCACACACTTAAGCGGATATTTGAATCCTTCAGAATTCACTTTGAGATAGAAAAATGCCTTTCCTAAATATGATATTTGATCCTGACCCAAGCCTTAATCCTGTTTTGCTCATCTGTAATGAAAGGATGCCAGCAATTATCCAGCGAAATTGGTAGTCCAGGTATCCTGATATTATACACAAGAAAATTGAGAGGTTTAGTATCAGAGAGATAGTACTGTGTGCAGGCAGCAGACCCTGGTTTGATCCCCACGTCATGTTTGTCCTGGAAGTGAAGAGAAACTAGACGAGCTTGCAAACTGGTTTGATCACAGAGCCAAGAGAAAACTCTGAACACTGTTGGGTGTGGCCCAAAACAGAGAGGGGAGAGGAGAAGGTGGAGGGAGTGGGGGAAAAGGAGGAAGAGGAGGAGGAGGAGGAAAAAGAGAAGAAAGAGGAGGAGGAGGAAGAAGAGGAGAAAGAGGAGGAGGAGGAAGAAGAGAGAGAACACACAGGGAGGGAGGAAGAGAAAAGAAAATGCAGAGGTTTAAGAAAGGGGGACGAGAGAATTGGGGTAGTTTAGAAACCCCAGAGTAGTGATCCCTCATCTACTGGCTGTCAAAGTCATTTGCCTTTTGGTGTGGCATTTGATGAAGATTTGGGGTATGGTGGTGCATAGTGGTGGGGAACATGTATATAACCAAGAAGACCTGTTAAAGCTTTAGAAAAATGAAAGTGGTTTTTAACAATGTTCAACATGTTTACTTCTTTATTCTTAAAGTGTAAAACCTGGTTTTAGAAATTGGCAGTCAGGTCTACACCAATGCAGATAGGCAAGTTTAAACCATAACCATCATTCACCTGTTCTGTTTAAAAAAATTTTTTTTTAAAAATTGAATCACTGTAAGATACACAGTTACAAAGATTTTATGATGGGGTTTCAGTCATACGGTGTTCCAACACCCATTCCTCCACCAGTGTGCTTTCCCACCACTAATCTCCCCAGTATCTCTCACACCACCCCCGAACCACAGCCTGCCTCTATGGCAGGCACTTTCTCTCTGTCTCTGTCTGTCTGTCTGTTCTCTCTTTCTCTCTCCGTCTCACCCCTCTCAAGCTCTCCCCCTCCACCAACTTTTGGTCATTATGGTTTGCAATACGAATACTGAGAGTTTATCATGTTTGGTCCCTTACCCACTTACTCCCAATCCAGAGCAATCCCTTCCAAACATCAAACCATCATTATCGTTCATTGTCATAGTGATCCCTTCTCTATCCCAACTGCCCTGTCCCACAAATTTGAAGAAGGCTTCCAACCTTAGGGCTGGAGTGATAGCACAGAGGGTAGGGCATTTGCTTTGCACGCGGCCCAACCCGGGTTCGATTCCCAGCATCCCATATGGTCCCCCGAGCATGGCCAGGAGTAATTCCTGAGTGCATGAACCAGGAATAACCCCTGTGCATTGCCTGGTGTGACCCAAAAAGAAAGAAAGAAAAAAAAAAAGAAGGCTTCCAACCGTGGACCAATCCTCTGGCCCTTCTTTCTACTCTCCTGGGGTGTTAGTCTCATATATGTTTTTTTATATCCCACAAATGTGTGTAGTCATTCTCTCTCTCTCTCCTTCTGACTCATTTCACTCAGCATGAAACTCTCCATGTCCGTCCACTTATAAGCAAATGTCATGACTTCATCTTTCCTAACAGCTGCATAATAATTCATTGTGTAGATGTACCATAGTTTCTTTAACCAGTTGTCTGTTCTCGGGCACTCAGGTTGTTTCCAGATTCTGGCTATTGTGGACAGTGCTACAGTGAACATACGAGTGCAGATGTCATTACTATTGTTATGCTTTTGCACCCCCAGGTATATTCCCAGAAGTGTTATTGCTGGGCTATATGGAAACTCAATTTCTAATTTTTTTAGGAATGCCCATGTTGTTTTCCAAAAAAGCTGAATCAGTCAACATTCCCATTAACAATGAATGAGAACCCCTTTCTCCCCACATCCACACCAGCACTGGTTGTTCTTTTTGATGTGTGCCAGTCTCTGTGGTATAAGATGATATATTGTTGTTTTGATTTGCATCTCCTTGATGATTTTCAATGTAAAGCATTTTTTTCATGCAACTTTTGGCCATTTGTATTTCTTTTTTGAGGAAGTTTCTGTTCGTTTCTTATCCCCATTGTTTTTTGATGGATTGGAGGTTTTTTCTTGTAAAGTTCTACCAGTGCCTTATATATCTTTAATGCCTTTATATACGCTAATCTGATGGGTACTGGGTAAATAACTTTTCCATTCCATGGGCTGCCTTTCTATCTTCATAGCTGTTTCTCTTGAGTTGCAGAAGTTTCTTAGTTTAATGTAGTCTCATTTGTTTCTCTTTTCTTCCACTGCTTGGTCACTGGTTTTTCATCTTTAAAGATGTCTTTAGTTTCAATATCATTGAGTGTTTTCCTTATATTTTCCTCTATGTACCTTATAGATTCAGGCCCGTTATTGAGGTCTTTAATCCATTTTGATCTCTAACATTTGTACCTGGCAGTAGAGAGAGGTCTGTTTTTTGTTTTTGGTTTTTTTTTTTTTTTTTGCATGTTGCTGTCTTGTTTTCCCACTTGTTAAAGAGGCTTTTCCTACTTCACTCCATATTTATTTCTCCTCTATCAAGGATTAAGTGATCATATTATATTTGAGGTTGTGTGTCAAGATATTCAACTCAATTCCATTGGTCTGTGGGTCTATCTTTATCCTGTTTTAATTACTACTGTTTTGTAGTACAATTTGAAATTGGGGAAGGTGATGCCTCCCAAATTCTTTATCCTAACGATTGCTTTAGCTATTCGTGAGGGTTTATTGTTCCATATGGATTTCAGGAGTGCTTAGTCTATTTCTTTGAAAAATGGGTATCCTTATAGGGACCACATTGAATCTGTTTAATTCTTTGGGGAGTATTGCCATTTTGACAATGTTAATCTTCCTGATCCACAAGCAAGGGTTGTGTCTCCTTTTCCTAGTGTCTTCCTGCATTTCCTGAAGTTGTGCTTAGTAGTTTTCTTTGTATAGGTCCTTTACCTCCTTAAATAAACTGATTTTGAGGTACTGGTTTTCTGAGGCACAATTGTGAATGAGATTTTTAAAAATATCTCTTTCATTATTTGTATATAGGAAAGCTTTGGACTTTTGGGCACTGATTTTGTAACCTGGCACTTTACTATACAGACCTATTGTTTCTAAGAACTTTTTTGTTGAGAGGATTTTCTAAGTATAGTATCATGTTTTCTGCAAATAGTGATAGCTTGACTTCTTCCTTTCCTATTTGGAATGCCCTTGATATCTTTTTCTTGCCTAACTTCTTTTTTTATTAAATTTTTATTAGAGAAACACCATGAGGTACAGTTGTAGACTTACAAATTTTTGTGTTTGGGTTTCAATTATACAATGATCAAATACCCATCCCTCCACCAGTGCTCATTTTCCACCACCATGGATCCCAGTATCCCTCCCACCTCCATCCCCCCATCCCACCCTGTCTCTGTGGCAGGGCATTTCCCTCTGTTCTCTCTCTCCTTTTGGTGTTGTGGTTTGCAAAAGAGGCACTGAGTGGCAATCATGTTTGGTCTATGGTCTACTTTCAGCATACTTCTCCCATCCTGGGAGGATCCTCCCAACACCCTTTATTTGGTACTCTTTTCTCTATCTGAGCTGCCTTTTCCCCTAGCATGTGTGGCTGACCTCCAAGCCATAGAGTAAAGCTCCTGGTACTTCTCTTGGTTATTCTTGGGTGTTAGTCTCCTATTTTGTTACTTTATGTTCCCCAGATGAATGCAATCTTTTTATTTCTATCCCTCTCTTCCTGACTCATTTAGCTTAGCATGATACTTTCCATGTAGTACCACTTGTATGTAAATTTTATGACTTCATTTTTTCTAACAGCTACATATTACTCCATTGTGTAGAGGTACCAAAGTTTCTTTAATCAGTCATCTGTTCTCAGGCACTCAGGTTTTTTCCAGATTCTGGCTATTGTTTAGATTGCTGCAATGAACAAACAAGTGCAGATGTCACTTCAACTATACTTTTTTGTCTCTCTGGGATATATTCCCGGGAGTGGTATTGCTGGGTCAAATGGGAGCTCAATTTCTAATTTTTTGAGAATTATCCACACTGTTTTCCAAAAGGGCTGAACCAGTCAGCATTCCCATCAGCAGTGAAGGAGGGTCCCTTTCTCGCCACATCCGCGCCAGCACCGGTTGCTTTTGTTCCTTTGGATGTGGGCC